CACTTTTGCAGTTTTCTCTCCAGGCTTGGACAGTTTCGACGACTATGGGCGCTATCCCAACCCGCACATGATTTTGAATCGTCGCTCTCTCCCCGTTCCAGTTCCGTCGGCACTGACACGAAGTGAAACTGTGCATACGAGTCGCAGACCAGAGCGACCGTACAGCCATGGTGCGAGACCGAGAGATCACCATCAGACGCAACAATATCCCGCGAGCCATCACGGCAGTGCTCCACAGCCCTCGCGTGGCTTCTTAAATCGACCACCTGAGCCACCACGCTCAATGTTCAGGACTCTGCCCTCGTGGCAGAGGAATCAGGAGAATGATGGGTCGGCAGAAGAGGACCTGATGCGGGAGGAGTTACAGACTATGGAGGCCAGAATGCGTGGTGGTGTCCCCGCAGAGCATACACACGCACGAGGTGGACAGACCGCAGGACAGACGGCCGGCGTGCTTGACGATACGCCGCCTCGCGAGGGCAGGTTTGAAAGGTTGATGAGGTCATGAATTGTCTCCGTGTTCTAGCAATAGAGAAACAGCATACATTATCAAGTTGGATACGATTGTACGTTTGAGACTTTCTTTAGAGCTTAATCTTAAAGGCGGACAGTACTGTAATAAATCACATCATCTTCATCAAAACTTCACCTGTGGAATGAATGGGCTCCAGCCTGCCTCGACCATCTCCACTGCCCGCTTAGTCGACTCGTCCAAATCATCCTTTTTCAAGCCAAGCACATCATTAGCCAATCCCCTGTTCGATTCGTAGTCGCCGTCCCCGTTCGGGAAGAAAACACGAGCGTACATGGCTTTTGCAAGGCCTCTTCTCTCGCCCTGTTTCAGTTCTTCAAGACCCTCCTTGAATCGCTCATCTGTCGGCTGGTACGTAATCTCCCAATCTTTATCGGTCGTGCCCAGAACACGATGGAGGCTGTCGAGTATGTCCCTCTGGCTGAACTTGAAGCTGTCGATGTACAAGGGCTTGTTCTTCCAATCCGACAAGCTTGGGGATGAGCCGCTCTCGGGCAAGCTCAACAGTGCGGCTAGGGCACGTCCACACTGGGGCCAAGTGCTACCGTTGATGCGCGTCTTGCCGTCGTCAAAGAATGTGACCGTTCTCTTCTTGATTTCGAATCCGAACCACGGCTCGCCCAGCGCAAGACTCCATTCGTACCAATATCCGCACACTAGCACGACGTACGAGGCACCGACGCTCTCGACCTCTGCAAGCTTTTGGAGAGCTTGGGCTGCGTAGGGGTGGGACCCGCAAAGGGCCTTGTTCTCGATATCCAAGCCATACACGTTGGGCATGATGTAAGGAACGCCAGCCTTGCCCGCTGCCTTGACGAGCTTAGTGTGGACTTCTGCAGGTGCAGTGACGGAGAGCGTGATGATGAGGAATTCTTGCCCCTTGAGCGCCGAGACGATAGACTCTTCGTCATCGTAGTTGACTTGGACCGCCTTGACCCCCTCAGGCAGGGTACCTTGACTCTCTGGGCGTGTTATGGCCGTGACTGTGTGTTTGCCGGTCTTGAGCAACTCCTCGGCAAAAGCACCGCCGATACGGCCGCTGGCCTATATATGGTCATCGTTTGTTGTAGGGCCTGGATTTACGTTGACTTACGCCGACAATAGCAACTCGTTCAAGATGCTTGGTTTGAGACATTACAGTCAATGTGAGAACCTGCGAATAACGAAATTTGAAAGATAGGATCAGATTGATATTTTGGGGCTTCAAAGGGTGGAGGGGATATGAAATTTATAGGCCGAAAATTAAGTGCACTTTTGCTCTGTGAGGGAGCGTGGATCTGAAGCAAGACGCATGCTTCCATAAAGGGAAAACAATCTCGACCGGGGGAACTCAGAATCCGACCTTGGGAATACGCTACGGTCACTTGTATCTAGGGCTCTTCTGATTGTCCGGTCACAATTTCATTCCGTTTCCGCATGAAACTAAGGTAGGCTTCAAGTGTATCTAAATGCTGTGGAGCCGCAAGGTCGGCTTTAACAGGAGATAGAAACGGACTTAGCTAAGCCGTGGAACTAGAGAGGAACAAAGCACGAGATCACAAGGTTTTGCGAGGACCGATTGCAAAATTATTCGGCTATTAACGCCCTATCGATATTGGATGATGAAAAAGGACACGGGAGTGGAGGCAGATACTAGAACCCATGCTGAACTCCGGGCACAATCGAAAAATATCGGCGTGGAAAGCCGTACGTGGCCTCGGAGTCAGGGAAGTTTCAACATCGACTAGAGAAGTCCTTAAATAATGTCGAGCAGAACTGAAATTCAAGAACGATAATTAAGAAGAGGTGAGGGATTAGGCAGCAGTTCGATATCTACGTTGACGTCCTGACGTCGGAGTATTTGAGATTCCGACATTGAGCCGGAGACGATACCGCGGATACTTCAATGATTCCAAGGCATTATTTCCCCTAGAATGGTGAGGCATTTAGAGTAGTAGTATAGGATCTGGAGACGCTATATATGATATCCTAAAATCTAAGGGTTAGGAAAGTCCCCTGCTATGCTTAATGGCCGAACAAAAATCGAAGCACGGGGTAGAGTCGCCAGTTTAGTTGTAGTGCGCTGCTAAATTACGGCGGGCTATTTCAGTATCACGCAATACCCTCTGCCTGCTGCTTGCCATTTTCGACCCACATGTCCAAGGCTATCACTTGTGTCACTTGTTGACACTCGCACTGCAATTTCAGCCTCTGTGGAAGGTCTCCAACGTCGTTTTCTGAAGGCTCAAGTGATCGCTTCTGGACCCCCACGTCTTAATAGTATCATTTTTGCCTGCCTGACTACGAGCTTGCCTACTACTGTCACAACAGTAATATAAGAACAAAGCGGCTCTGGGAAATATTTCCTGGGATCGTCGAGATGGCCTTATTCGGGATGTATAACCTGATTCTCTTCAAGAGACCATTATTCTCAGCTGGGTGTTCTTTCCCCCAGGCAACGCACCTCACATGGAGGAGCGATCCAAGCTAGCTTGCAATCGAAGTTATTGGGAATTCTCCAAATATTTTGCAGCTTCTAAATTTGTGGGAATATCCTGAAGATGCTATTGAGCGTCCTTCCCTCCCCTTTGCGGAAATGATATCAAGAGACGTCTCCCTTCAGATCCCGTCCAATCTTGCCCTAAAATCCTTCAACACCTTCTCGAACCAAGCATCCTCAAAGTTCATTGCCAACCATGAGAAGCCGATGCTCAGACATCCATCCCCTCCGGTCACCACGGTGACATGGACTGGTGGACCAGTCAAATCTGCGCTCTGGCTGAACAACATCCTGCCAATCCGCCAACCGCTATCCTCATGATCAGTACCGTTGACTTTTGTCGAAGGATGTGCTTTAAAGACGCCGACATTGGACAACTCGAAGCTGTTGCCTCTCGTCTTGCCATTCTTCTTCAGGAAAAACTGATTCATATTGCCAGCCCAGCGGAGCAGGCCCGTAACCGCATCCCTCCCGTTCTTTGCAAGTTCCGCATCAATGCTGTCCTTAACCGCTTTTGCCTCTTCCCAAGGAAATGGTGAGCCTCCAGACTTCGCATCAACAGTAGTCGATGTTCGAAGATGCTTGTGCTCAAAACGCGAGACCCAGCAGCCCATGCTGTCCTCATTGATGACATTGGACGGAAGGAATCTGCGCAATGAGACAGCCCCGTCTACAAGGAGTGCAGCAGACTTCTCGGGTTCGAGGTTGGCAAACAGAGAATCAGCGAAACATGCTACCAGTGCGCCAGTGACAGATGTGGAGTGTGCGCGAGACGCCGCAACTAGTTTCTGCGTCAAGTCGGATGAGAGCGATATGGAACGAAATCGCCGCCGTCGCTTGTCGGGATCGAGAGATATTGGTTCAGCATTCCAATGGTCTTTTGGTGGCCCGTATACGAACTCCGCTATTATTGCTTTGAAGAGGAAGAAGAGAGACAGAGGAAGCGGATGTAGCGTTTCCAGTGTTGGTATCATTGGCATATCTGGAGGAGTAATAACGGTGCAGAAATTCTCGTCCTGGCTATCACTTGCTTCTACTCCTTGCAAAGCCGTGAGAAATGTTCTGTGGAATGCTAGTCCGGACATTCCATCGCCAACAGCATGGTGAAATATAAAAGCTGCAGCAAATCTCGAATTGTTTTTGGGTTCTCGGAGAATGATCAACTTCCAGAATGGTATCTCGCCATAACGGTCTTTCTGATCGTGGTTGTGATATCGTTCGACAACATTGTCCAATTCCTCATCGCAGGCCCCGCCAGTCTCGTCAAAGTCGTGCTCCCGATCAAGGAAGATGACCGCATCCTTCAGGTCAACCTTCGGCAATCTCACAAAGTACGTCGATTCCTTGTCTTCGTCCACTGGGATCGCGGTTAATGATGGATGCTGAGCAATGACCGCTGCTAGGGTACGGAACATGAGCGTCTCAATCGATTTTGGGCCCGGTTTCGAAGTTGAATATACAGCGCTTGATGAGACATTGTTGTAGATCCCGAGCGCATGTCTCGCTGTTGAGAACTTCTCCAGCCTTCCTGAGATGACTTAGTGATCTATCTCCATAGTCGATAATGTGTTATACCAGCTGGACGGAGTTTCTGAAATGTCTTTGGATCTGACATTTTTTTACGGGAAGATGTAAAGTCCAGTTCAATTGAATTGAAAACGAGTGTCTCCGTTGTGTTCGCCTAGCTCAGGGGCCAGAATTACCAAGGCACCTAGAGAATGACATCCAGTCGATATATCTGATATTTAAGAAAGGAGAGAAATTGAAACTTGAGATTACGCTTTACTTCCATGGAACCTATATGTCTTCGGATATTGTTCATATCGGGACTCATCTGCCTGCGTCCCCTGAAGACGAACGATGAAGTGGATCCTTGCCAAGTCGTTACCGCACCCACATCTGGCTACGCTACGTCGTGCTTTCCCTTCTGGGACTTCCGTACCGTCCCGTAGGGTCGGCCAAAAAAAGTGCCAAAAAGAAACCGAATATTGCCTGCAGTGCGGTTCGAACGCACGCGGATTGCTCCAACAGAGTACCTTCTAAAAGAAGACTTAAATCTGTCGCCTTAAACCACTCGGCCATGCAGGCTAGCAGCATCGCTGAAATCTGTATAACAAATATATAGCTAAAAATTTAGCGCTTTTTGTCATAACGCTGAAAATTATATCAGGCCAAAGAAATATATTTCAAGTGTTCTAATAAGATCGTGAAGATTTTTTGGGCGTTCCATTGTGCCTGGGTGGGGCAAAATCCACCGCTGAGGAAGTCGGGATAACTGGTAGAGCTTCGTGTGGATCATGACAATGACTAATCTACTCAGCACCTGAGATTCATTTCCATTTCTAGTCATAGTACTCCGTATATGGCTCATGTAAATGAGAAATAAATGATTTGGCCCGTTATATCCGTTAGATGCCGTAAATAACGACGTGAGTTCGCTCTTTAGTATGTAACGCCAAACCATGCCTACTCGAAACATCGCTGAACGAAATTCGTACAGCGCTATGCGAAGTCAAATAATAAAATAATACTCTAGTTTCGCCTGGACGTCCAGAACTTGGATCTCAGAGAGTTTCCGGCAGTTCAGAAAGCGATCAGGCCCAAGCACCCACGAGGGCCATCAACGCTGCGCCGGCAACGACCGCTATACATGCCTTCAGTCTCCGCGCTCCAGTCAAGCTCACATAGCTCTCGTCGCTTAAAAAGTCCTCTGCTAATAGGCCGACCAGCCCCGCAAAGAGTAGCAGTCCACTACTAATCGCGTTCGTCACACCAACGACGATCAGGCCCGTCTGACCCTGTGGATCGTAGAGATGTCGCACTCCCAGACCAAGTGCCTGTCCAAATGGCGTCGTCGTGCCGAATGCTAAAGCCATCAGCCATGGACGCGGAGAGGATGGAGGAAATGCGAGCGCGCTGATGCGCGCCCCCAAAGCGAGTCCCTCGAAGGTCTGATGGAACGATATGGCCACGAGGAATATAATGAATGTTGGTCCCGTGGAAACGGACAGAGCCATACCGATAAAAACGGAGTGGAAGAGAATGCCGGCCTCCAGGAGCAGGCATTGGAGGATGAGCTTCTGCTGCTCTGCATGCGACTTGAGAGTTGAGTCGAGTTGAGGGTCGTTCCGAGAGTTTGGATGGGATTTGCGCGACTTCCCGTTCCGAAGCGGTTGATAAGAAGCTTTGCGTGAATGGGATGCTGATTCTACGGGCATGGGGTCCAGTTCGTCAAGTTCTAGCTCCATGTCTGATTCAGAATCTGCCGGTTCAACCTCATCACGTTTCGAGTGGGGTCCTTGTGGCAATGGTGATGGTTGGGCAGTGGATGGAGAGCGGTTCGCGACAAGATTGTCGGTCTCGCTCTCACCCTCTGGCTCCTCTGGTAGATGCAGATGTGGTGGTCTATCAAAGCTCGTACGCTTAAAGCGATTCATGCTATTCACGCCTTGTCCTTGCCTGTGAGATGCATCAATTGGACGTGTAGGATCCGCAAGCGCCTCGAAATCGACATTGTGAGAGTGGCCAGCGCCTCGGGATGCGAAGAACATCTCTACACCCACCACCACAATAACTGCAATCATGGCTATCGCCCCCGGCATGGCCGGGTAGCCAGTGTTCCAGAAGTATGGTAGGCATGGATCGTTGAGCGAGACGAAGGCCGTTGGAAGGAGATGGACAAATGCGGTTGCGATGAGGACGCCTGTCCCGAAATGTCGTGATATGAAGAGGACCGAGTGAGGGATGGAGAGGTTAGGAAAGCGTTTGACAATGATTGGGAATGCGCATGCTAGGAGCCATGTCAGCTATTCTGATGCGATCCACATGCGCCTGCGGAACGAGACCTACCTGCAGTGCTAAGGAAGAGGATTAGAAATAACGCGAATACATGTATAGGCGTATTGTAAGCCCCACGATGCTTCCCAGAGCCGCAGGCCGGTCGCTCATCGCCGGCCTGACGCTGAGCGAGTAGTGTCTGGAGAAGCTCTGTTGGTAGGCCTTGCCAATGCGCGCCAGAGATGTCTACAAGCTCTCCTTCGACAAAGAAGATGTCCCCGTTCCCAGCATTGTCGGCAGCTGCGGCAGTCATGGTCTCGAGGGATTACTATCCACGCGAATTAGGGTCGCATTCATGATCTCTGAAGGTATGAACGGGTCGTCGAGCATGCACGCTCATCAGCCTTGAGGTCAGAAATAGAATCGTCGACTGGGAACGTGGCAGAACGTGGAGATCACCAAGTGTGGCTGACGGTTCACTCCGATCCGGATGCAGCTGTCTCGCGCGGACGTGGCGGCTAAACCTCGGGGCCTTGCGGGCTCGGATACAAGTTGCCGAACCGAAGCTTAACTTTAAGGGGACGTCAGAGTCAGGGCGCGGCGTCTAAGCCTTATAAAACTCTCCTAAGCACTGAAGCACTACACGTGCGTGCAAGGGCACCTGCGTCCCATGTCGGCTAGACAGCAGTGTCTGAGGCCAGAATGCTAAGTTTTTTCAGGTACGTATTCTGCTCGCCGGCTGACTACGACAGCTAGCGTGCCGGAACGCGCAAATTCGGCATACCGAGAGAGATTCACAATGAATTCGATGCGCAGGGCGTTAAGGTTAGATCAATGCGACGTTGGGCCCGACTGCAGGGAGTCCCTAGGCACCACTAGTCTACTTCTCTCTAAGTGTCATCACGCCACGTCTCTCGCACGGCAGATGACAAAGATATTATGATAGGGATCGGAAACTGGGCACAGTATTGGCTCCCCTGGGGGCGAGTAGCACCCATGATGCTCACCGATGCTCGCGCCATAGCCTGGCGACTGAGCGGCCACTCGCTGGAGTTTCCCATCGGCGTTGCATTTGCCGTAGTGAGAGAGCAGCCCAGGGGAGGATTGGCGCGTCACACGGCTCGCGGGCACAGCGCGGGCACAACTAGTTGACTTGCAGTGAGAGGCGCATGAATTAGCCTGAGCTCGCTTACAAAGGGTGTATTAGTCGCTGCAAGAGGCAATGGCTTCCGTTGGTCGACGAGCGAATGCCCCGAATCTTGATATACGATGCTCCGCGCCAAAGCTCCACTATTACTATGATCTTATTAACCATCACCGCGCCCTCTCTTCGACATCGTCGTCAGAGGCCCAAACTATGTCCATGAAGTTTATCGACCAGACGATTGCCTTTCCGCCATGTCCAGAGCCGGCGCGCCCCGCTGCCCGGAGGAGCACCTCGGGCGACACAAACTTCCTCTTCGTTAACTCGAAGAAGGGCCAAATACCGAAGCAGAGCCGGCAACCTATGCGGTCCCATGTGATGCAGCATGCCCGGAGTCAGAGGAAATGGTCGACCAGCAAAGGCGTCGTAAATTGGACCAACGACTCATCACGATGCTCATCCGAGGAAGCTGACCATTTCGAAGCTGGAGGGGAAGCTTCGATCATTGCGTTGACGGACGGTCACAAACGTCCCGCAACAAAGAGACGGGCAACGGAAGGAATGATCTATCGAAGCCAGTTGCAATCACAGGGCAGCCGGTCTTCTGGCTGTTTCGACCCACAATGCAAAGGACCGCATAATTCTGCAGACCCCTGTATCGGATGCAAAATACGCAGAGGCTCTGATATCATTCCTTTCGTCAACTCGGACTGGGCTTTGGATCCCTACTGCGCGCTTCCTGTACGACTGGACCCTGCATCTCGATGGATGCTTGACCAATGTAAGCTTATCTGTCATTCTGTCTACACTGCCACGATTTTCAATATACATTGCGTCTGTAACTCTCGCGTTTACATTTCGTATACGAGTCGTATCGTCAAACGTTCGTTTGCATCCAACTTCCAATTTCTTGGTCATTTTGCCGCGGAAAAATGCCTCACACTTTCCGACGATCATCCCAAAATAAACCTTGGGACTATCTCAGCATATGATGACTAACCGATCTTCCCGTAGATCTTCTCAGCTTGTCACAATCCGTTGGAATAGATGGACGGTCAAACACGGCAATCAGTCAGGCATGGTTCGCGGCGGCCTTCGCCAGCCGTGCGTTCATGTACAGCGTTCTATGTGCCGCCGCGACTCACCTATACGCTCTCGGCCAAACTTCTTACTGGGCAATCCTTCAGTACAAGTCACATGCAATGACCGAGTTGAACTCAACTCTTGCTGATCCTGTCCTTGGAGTCACGGATGGCAACATTGGTGCCGTCTTCAATCTTCTCTGTGTCGACGAAACCTTCCCACTCCCCAACGTCGAGAAAAACCCGTCACCTCCTGAGAGCGAGGGATCTCAGAGACTAGTGCACCTCGAGGGGCTGAAGCGAATGGTGCAACTTCGGGGTGGTCTCACTTCTCTACGAACCAATCCTTGTTTATACTCTTTCCTCCTTTGGTACGTATACGATAAATACTTCGAATCATGTGTCGATTAGAACTGACTGGAATCCACAGGCACAGCACAGCACATACCGTTGCGTCGTTCCAAGCCTCCGACTTTGCACTGGACAACTCAGAGTACGACCGCATCATCCGTGACTTCTACCAATCTGACCGATGTTACCTTGGGCAAAACCGAATCCTCAACCTTCTTCGTTCTTCCAAGCTGCCACAAACAATCATCTCCGCCACCGAGCACGTAATTGACTTTTCTCACCAAGTCGCCGCCTGGCTGCGGATTGAACCTAAAGCGCCCGACTTCATGCATCTGGGCAACTTCTCCTCCTTAATCGTGCAGAACCTAGTCAGATTCCTGAACAGCCAGAGGGAATTCGAACCAATGGCGGAAGCAGTCGCAGTCGCATTAGTAATGTTTACTGTCCGTGCAACCAACGACCCTACGAGACCACTGGATGCACTGCACTTCGCGGCAACAAACTGGCTGCGATGTGCTCTTAGAGCTACGGACAAGGCAAAGGTGGAGTGGGACCCCGATTTGAGATTGTGGGTGTGCACGGTCGGGGGGATCTGTGCAGAGGGGAGCAGGCAGCAAGACGAAATTGAACGGAAGTTTGTCAAGGCATGCGGAGAATGGGGCATTGAGAGTGCAGATCAACTGGTAGAGGCACTGCAGAGCTTACTCTGGGTAAAGGAGAGGTTCGACAAGAGG